TAAAAGTGTACTTTGGACAAAATGTCCCATACCAATTGTCTCATCCCAAATTCTAACCAAACAAGGTAATTGTATACAATTTCCTCATACAAATGTCTCATATTTTAAAATGAGGCAATTGGGTCAAATTGCCTCATTTCTCAATTGCTCCATCCAAACGACCCTAAGAGAAATTTTACAATGCTATATAGTATTGGTGCTATAGGTTTTTGCCTTTATGGTACAACTTCAGATTGTACATATACTTTTTGTACAAATTCTTTTATGGTACAACTTGAACTTGTACATTTATGTGATGGTAATGGTACAAATTGCTTTATGGTACAACTTTAAGTTGTAAAGTTATACCATACATTTAATGTTATGGTACAACTTTGAGTTGTACATTAAAGCACCAATACTATATAGCATAGTAGAAGTGCTCTGGGTAATAATGTAATGTTAATTATCAAACTATACCTCTTTCTAATCTTGGATGCTCATCGAATCATATAGGCTTTCATGTATGTTTTTTTTCCTTCATTTAGTACTCAAAATAATAGGTATTAGTAATTTCCCATGAAGAAAAAACTTCAGTTCTAAGTATTTGTGTAAGTAAACAATTTGTTAAATTAATTAACCATCACAACATTCAAGACTCCGGCTTTTAATGAAATCAAGTGCGCTTTCCTGCAACTTCATCATAATTCTTTGCTTTTACAGCTGCAACAGTAGAGCGTGAACCAGTTTTACAAGTTATATCATACTGCTGAGTAGGGCTGCAAACGAGTTTAGTCGAGTCGAGTTTTTACTTAGTTTGAGCTCGGCTCGTTTATTAATTTTTCAGCTCGAACTCGAATTTTGATAATCCAGCTCAAGCTCGAGCTCGGCTTGAATAAAAATAATCTAGCTCGAGCTCGACTCGGTAGAGCTCGATAAATTCTCATTAACATAGCTTGGCGAGTCGAGCTCGATAAATTCTCATTAACATAGCTTGGCGAGTCGAGCTCGATAAATTCTCATTAACATAGCTTGTCAAGCTGAGTACAAGCTCGGCTCAAGATGAGCTCGATTTAAAATCATTTTTGCTGGAAAAATGTATAAACATAAGGATTTAAATGATAGAAAGAACACTAGAAAGTATAAATAACATCTAAATTTCATACACATCTGTATTAGAAGACAATGTTCATGTTTAAAAGAGTAATTCATCCTTCAACAAGCTCAAAACAAGGAAGCTCGCGAGCTTAGCTCGACAAGCCACAGAATCAAGCTAGCTCGAGAGCTTATCAAGCTGAGCATGGTCTAGCTCAGGCTTGGCTCATTATCTAACGAGTTGGCTCGCGAGCCGGCATGTTAAATAACGAGTCGAGTGTCGAACGAGTTTTTCCCGATTCGAACGCCGAGTTGCTCGCGAGCGGCTTGGCTCATTTGCAGTCCTACTGTTGAGCATAATGCATCACAAGAGAACCAGAACCAATATGTATTAATTTGTTTTTGTAACTTAGATCTCGGCGCGGAGGCACGGGCAAAGATACTAGTTCTATTAATTTTGTGACTATAAGATGTATTTCTAAATTTAGGATAATATTTATTGAGTTAATATTGTTTTGGGTGTTTTTAGAAGTTCTGTTTACTAAAATGTAATTAGAAGTATTGGACGGAGACGCTGCTTAGTGACTTGGGTGGTACCAGAGGCTCTAACCGAAATTCGGTGGTACCCTACCCCCAATTCGAAAAGTTCAATAGTATCTGGAAAATTTTACCCTTCTCATGCGAGAATTGAGAAGCCAGCAGCAATGTTAATAGGGTATGTTAGGGGACAATCGAAGTACCACATTGGTAATACAAGGGAAGGAACCCTTGTATATTAGAGTCCACCTATCCAATTAGTACGAGGCCTTTTGGGGAGGAAACCCAAAAGTAAAACCGTGCGGGCTTGGCCCAAAGCGTACACTATCGTACTAATTGAGCACCCCGATTATGACAAGTGGTATCAGAGTCTAATTCAGTTCGGGGCGGTGGATGTCAGAGTGGACCCTCATTCGGTGGCCTCGGAATTTGCGATCTGCGTCTGTTTGGCGGATCAAGGGAGATCTACGTCTAGGATGTTTGGTGGATCCAGGAGAGATCCACGTTTGTTTGGCCGATCAAAGAGAGTTCCGCGTCTGGGAAAATCCTTGTACCGAGAAGCCCATCAGTACAAGGTGTCTGGCGGATCAAGATAATCGCTAAGGTGAGGATATGATGCACGTGGTCCTTGGATTGAGGGGAGGATTGTTAAGGGACAATCCAAGTACCACATCGAGAATACAAGGGAAGGGACCCTTTTATATTAGTGTCCACCTAGCCCAATTAGTACGAGGCCTTTGGGGAGGAAACCCAAAAGTAAAACCGTGCAGGTTTGGCCCAAAGCGGACAATATCGTACTAATTGAGCGACCCACTAGTTTGACAAGTGTTATCAAAGCCTGGTTCGGTCGAGGCGGTAGACGTCGGTTTGGTGGGACCCTCGTTCGGTGGCCTTAGGATTTGCGATCCGCGTCAGGTTTGATGGATCCAGTAGAGATCCACGTTTGGTAGATCCGGGAGAGATCCACGTCTGTTTGGCGGATCAAAGAGAGTTCCGCGTCTGAGAAAATCCTTGTACCGAGAAGCCCATCGTTACAAGGTGTCTGGCGGATCAAGATAATCACCGAGGTGAGGACACGAAGTCCGTGGTCCTTGTCTTGAGGGGAGGATTTTTATGAGACAATCCAAGTACCACATCGGTAATACAAGAGAATGGACCATTGTATATTAGTGTCCACCTAGCCCAATTAGTAAGAGGCATTTTGGGGAGGACACCCAAAAGTAAAACCGTGCGGGCTTGGCCCAAAGCGGACAATGTCGTAGTAATGGGCTGCCCAGTTATGACAAGTGGTATCGGAGCTTGGTTCGGTCCAGAGCGGTGGACGTAAGTTTGGTGGACCCTCGTTTGGTAACCTCAGATTTTGAGATTTGCGTCTGTTTGGTGGATACACGGATGATCCACGTTTGGGCTCATTTGGCAGATCAAGGGAGGTCCAGGTTGGTCTGGTAGAGAGATCCACGTCTGTTTGGCGGATCCAAGTGAGTTCCACGTTTGGAAAATCCTTGTACCGAGAAGCACATCGATACAAGGTGCTTGGCGGATCAAGACAATCGCTGTGGTGAGGACACGAAGTCCGTGGTCCTTGTCTTGAGGGGAGGATTGTTATGGGACAATCCAAGTACCACATCGGAAATAGAAGGAAAGGGACCCTTGTATAAGTACGAGGCCACGATGTAGGTGGTCCTTGGATTGAGGGAGGATTGTTAAGGGACAATCCAAGTACCACATTGGTAATACAAGGGAAGGGACCCTTGTATATTAGTGTCCACCTAGCCCAATTAGTACGAGGCATTTTGGGGAGAAAACCCAAAAGTAAAACCGTGCGGGTTTGGCCCAAAGCGGATAATATCATACTAATTGAGCGGTCCATTAGTTTGACAAGTGGTATCAGAGCCTGATTCAGTTCGGGGCGGTGGATGTCAGAGTGGACCTTCATTCGGTGGCCTCGAAATTTGTGATCCGCGTCTGTTTGGCGGATCAAGGGAGATCTACGTCTGGGCTGTTTGGTGGATCCAGGAGAGATCCACGTTTGTTTGGCTGATCAAAGAGAGTTCCGCGTCTGGGAAAATCCTTGTACCGAGAAGCCCATCAGTATAAGGTGTCTGGCGGATCAAGATAATCGCTAAGGTGAGGATATGATGTACGTGGTCCTTGGATTGAGGGGAGGATTGTTAAGGGACAATCCACGTACCACATCGAGAATACAAGGGAAGGGACCCTTGTATATTAGTGTCCACCTAGCCCAATTAGTACGAGGCCTTTTGGGGAGGAAACCCAAAAGTAAAACCATGCGGGTTTGGCCCAAAGCGGACAATATCGTACTAATGGGCTGCCCAGTAATGACAAGTGGTATGAGAGCCTGGCTCGGTGCAGGGTGGTGGACGTAAGTTTGGTGGACCCTCATTTGGTGACCTCGGATTTTGAGATCTGCGTCTGTTTGGTGGATCCACGAGAGATCCACGTTTGGGCTCATCTGGCGGATCGATGGAGGTCCACGTTTGTCTGGTGGAGAGATCCACTTCTGTTTGGCGGATCGAAGTGAGTTACGCGTTTGGAAACTCCATTCCCACTGTGAGGAAGTTACCAAGTTTATCAGGATTATCACGTTTAGGTGGTCATACGATTGCGCTAGTTAGTTAAGTCGAGTTTGGGACCCTCCTTATCAAGAAAACCGTATCAATGAAATTTTTCCAAGTCAAGTAAGTGTTTTAACGCATGAGCATTTGCACTCACTATGCATGATGGATCATTTTATGTATTATGTAAAGAATGGAACTGGGACTGACCCTAACGCCTGCACTCAAAGATTATAGGATCATTAGAAGTACACTAAAGGAGAAGATCTGGTCACGGCGAGGTTCAAGGCTCCAACAGACTCTATTACAAAGAATTAAATTCTTACGTATTTAGTAGGATCGAGACTTGATGTGTATTTATTAAGTATGTTATGTTTTCCCGTAAGAACGTTTCAAGAAATTATGATCTGAATTTCAAAGAAATTTTGATTCTAGTTTTGGTTAACGGTTTACTAAGGGTATTTTGATAAAAGTAGTGTCTGACGCGGTTTTGGTTAACGGTTTCATAATTCTAATAATAATTGACAAAGATTCTACCAAAATTAAGGGTAAAGATTGTATTTTCTTGTGGTTTGTAAGTGTACAAAGTTCAAACACCACTCATTTATAAACATAAATATAGCTAAGTACTTGCTAAAAAAAATATAGCTAAGTACAATATGGTCCGATGAATAATTATTTAGAAAATACCAACTCTATTATTATATATTCAACTATTCAATCTAAGTTCATGTTGTATAAATATAAGTTTAGTTATTTAACTGAAGATCATATCCAACAAAGTCTATAGAGATTGAGAATTTGATTACGGTTCTAAGTACACCAATATACTTTTTAACATTAACTTATCGATTTATTTTCGATAACCCGTCGCAGAGGCGATTGGATGATTACCTGCCATTCATTTCCGTGATGGTAACCTGGTTCGGTGTCCAAATCTCCTCCTGCTCTTCAATAATCTCCGCGACCTCCTGCAAGCTGCTCATCCTGTAATAAAATGCTGGACGATTGGGAGACGGTAATTGGACTGAATCATTGTTGTAGATCATGGAGGCGACTTTCACCATTGAAGGTCTATCCCTTGGATTCTCCTGCACGCATAACAGACCTATCTGAATGCACTTCACTGCTTCATTCTGGCAGACGCTATTGTTGTTGATGTTGTCTATCCCTATGGCTGGATCCACTAGCTCTGTTCCTCTTCCTTCTCTCCATAGCTCCCAAGCCTACATCAAGAAGAAAAGTAGTTTTAAACTATCGAACATTGGTTTTTGCTACGAAAGTCGGTACCCCTTTACAGTTCTCGCAACGAAATACGTCGTCAGCAAGTAATCTAAACTTTCTGCGACAAGAAGAAATAGTGGTAAATATTCCCATATCTCTAGAGACCAAATAACTGGGCAGCAATATCTAGCAATTGTTCTATACGAAAAAGTTTGTGCCGCAAATATCCTCGAATATTCTGCTATGACGTACCTCGTCGCATTGATAGAAATCAATTTCGTTAGGGTTTCTATATTTATTATTATAATTACTAATAGGGTAATTCTTATTATGGATAGTAGTATTCTAGTAGAATTATGTTTATTAGTAGGGTTTTCCTATATTCGCTATAAATATGTACTAGACCTATTCTCCTAAACCGTATTCTCCCAATCCTCTCAATTCTTGTTCTCAATCCCTCTAAAAGCCTAGGCCGATTCTCTATCTTTTGCTTCTGAAATCCCTAATTCTGTTTTGAATCCCTAATTCCCAATCTCACGACCAGATCCAATAGAACTCTAATATCAGGTTCTATCACGCATAAAGCTGAGAAACTCTCGCAAATTCATCACCTCTCCATGTCCGCGAAAATTTAGAGTATAGAAATAAACTAAATCCATCACCAAAAATTTTCCTTTCACAACAAAACTTTGTTCGTCACAAACTATCCAATATTGCTACAACTCCTTTTTTTTTTTTCAATGATTGAGTGATGAAGGTTAGGAAAACTCACCCATGCCAAGAGACTGCTAGGGCCTTCACGATCACCACGGAAGTGATTGTTCCTCTTGCCGCTCACAATTTCAAGCAGCAGAACTCCAAAGCTGAACACGTCCGACTTTGTCGAGAAAACTCCCTCCATAGCATACTCGGGAGACATGTACCCACTGCATTGGAATTTAGAGTATTTAAACATCCTTTGCCCTAGACTCATTGGGATGGAATATCCTGGCCAACCCGAAATCCGATATCTTGGGGTTCATCTCACCGTCGAGCAAGATATTGCTGGCCTTCAGATCTCTGTGGACGATCTTCAACCTCGAATATTTGTGGAGGTATAGAAGTCCTTGGGCTATCCCTTGGATAATGTTGAACCTTTTCTTCCAATCCAGGACATTGTCGTCAGTAGGAGCTGGTAATCGATCAGAAGCAACTAATTTAGGTCAAATTCCAGATGTGGGAGGAGAAGCAAAAGGAACGAACTGCAAGTTAATTAATGGAACTACCAAAGAGCGAGAAATCAAGGCTTTTGTTGGGCAGATATTCATAGACGAGGATCTTCTCTCGATTCTCGATGCAGCAACCTACTAGCCTGACCAGATTGTCGTGCTGCAGTTTAGCAATGAACCTTACTTCGTTCTTGAACTCAACTAGCCCCTGCCTCGAGCTCGTTGACAGTCTCTTTATCGCTACTTCTAGCCCACTTGGTAGCTTCCCCTGCAAATTTTTCCGAGTAGGATTTTGACTTAATGCTAAAGAGTTTAGAAAGTTGTAGGAGTAGCAGCATTTTTGTTGGTATTTGCTAAACCATGCAACCAAAAGTTAAATGAACCAAATATATGCCCATATGCCATATTTACCTTATACACAGGTCCAAAACCACCCTGTCCGAGCTTATTATCGGCGTGGAAGTTGCCTGTAGCAGAAACTATGTGCTCGAAACTGAATAGCTGGAAATCATTGTTGTTGCCGTTTTCTTGGCTATCGAGATCGGCTTTTGCCTCAGCTGCCATCCCTAACTCCTGCAACAATATCTCTTGCTCCGCATCTGCGATGGCCTTAGTTAGCCGAAGCAGGACATAGTATTCCTTCCACATTGCGAAGAAAGACCCACAACGCTTCCAATATTCACGGACACTCCTCGTTAAATGGATTACGATTGCTCCCAATTGTCTTCTCCATTTCCAGCCAAGGTACGACAAGAACAAGAGAAGAAAGAGTGCTAACGGAACAACTCCTGCGATGATGAACCACAGCTGCCAAAGACGTCTATCAACTGCAATAGTTCATAGTTAAGTGTATATATATATGGTGGCATATTCGGTGCACCAACTTTTTTGGTGCATTCAATGCACTGACCTCATGATTGGCTTTTCGAGCATGTGATTCATGTCCATACGGTACCAATCGTCACTTATGATGTTATGAACAAAAAACACACGAATTTGAAAAAAAAAAACTATTTCAAAATTTATTTTAATTAGAAGGATTTAGAACTGAGGGATCTAGCGTTAGGGTTTAGGTTTATAATTTAGGGTTTTGGATTGGGATTCAAAATTGAAGGTTAAGGGGGTTAGGGTAATAGATTAGGGCTGCAAAAATATACTAGACAGTTTGAAAAACCATGGTCCAGGTTCGCATAGTTTGGTCCGGACCGTAGACCGTTAAGTATGGTTTGGTCTGGTCTGGTTCATGGTCTGCATTATATGATGTTTTGATGTCTTGGTCAGGTCTAGACCGAGGTTTACCGGACCATACCGTGGATCCAGCTGACTTCTCAACACGCGTTAGTAGGTCACTCGACCACTTTCCCAACTCCTATAAAAATACCCAAGTCTTAATCTTAATTTTGAGAATCTCGTCCCCTCCTTCATTCACAACCACATTTCACCAAAGAGTAAAGATGATTGTCTCCATATGATCTTATGTTATTATGTTAATGTTTATGTTTTAATATTTGTTTGTGGATTTTTTGTTTTGATTTTTTTTTCTTTTGGTGTTCTCGATTGCGAAGGAGGAAAGGAGAGTATGCAGAAGACTAGCATTTATAAAGTATGTCTTAGTTGGATGTATATTATGGTTACCATACTGTACCATGGTGGTATTGTGAAGAAAATGAAGGCATGAAAGTGGAGAAAGTCTTAATTATATATATTGGGATTACCACACTATGCTATAGTGGTATTGCTTGGTAACTAGATTTTTTTTATGGTTACACATGTTACCATAGTGGTACCAGTATTGTAACTCAAGTTTAATAAAAATGTCACCATTCAATTTCAGTTGAAGTTATTAATAACATAATACCACATCATACCATATGGCACCAGTATTCTAATCCAAGTTTATAGATTTGTTTCTTGTTCTAACACCATTATATACTATATCATACCATATGGTATCATCATACAAAATACTATATCACCGCAAAAATTTTATTTTGCCCCACTATAAATCATACCTCATCATACCATATGATACTCGTATTGTAATTTTATTTTATAGATTTATGCTTTGTTAGACAACATTGTAAGTTTAAAATATAACATATTGTATGGTTGACTCATACCGTAAATGATAGCATACAGGCAGATTAATTTTAATACATTATGATACCACCACATACTATATGGTACTACTATGGTCTTTTTGAAGTTTTAAAATTTGTTAGGGCGAAGAGAGTTTAGATGGTTTAATTCATATTTTGTGTAGTGTCGATGTTAAAGTGGAGAGAGCGAAGATCATTTTTTTTTTCTTTTAGTTATAGATGAGAGAGTGAGAATTATTGTGGCAGACAAAAAAGTGAGAGAGATGATTCATTTTAATCTACACAATAAATAAAAGTCAAATAAGAAAATTTGAAGCCCTATTTCAAATTTTCTGCATCCAGAGTGAAAGTAGGAAGGACGTTTTGGTCTTCACAATTACGTTTTTTTAATTTATTAAAAAATATTTATTAGGATTCGAACCATGACCACTTTAAAGAAAAGCAAATATCATAACCAATCACACTCAGTACATTTGTTGTAATTTTTTAAATTAAAATATATAATCGCTGAGAGGAGAAACCCTCCCCCTATTTCAAATTCCCTGCTCCATGAGCGTTTGTAGGAAGGGTAGAATAGAGAGTGTCAATTTTTTTCTTTTTCCTCTGTGGAACGGGCCAACTTACCGTACACATGCGGATTTAAACGAGTCCAGGAGTGTCAATTTTTTTCTTTAAGTCCTTTTATTTCTCCGTGGTCGTAAAATATATATGAAAAGGCAAAAACAATAATCCTTTTTATTGCTAAAAAGAAAAAAATTTAACAATAAACTAATGCATGGATTCTAATGGGCTAACCGCTAATCATAAAATAAAAGAGTTGAATGGGTCTGACCTACACGGGATTTGCCCATCAAGTAAAACAAATGAACATCATATGTTTGTCATTCTAAAACAAACTATTTTTTCTAGCATAATATATATTATGCTATTATTTCATATCTTAGTGAGTAAAATATAATGTATTTTAAAGTTATTCAATGGTTCAACCTCGACAACCCAATTAGTCCAATTTTTATCATTTCAAATATATATTATGTAATTATTTTATATCATAATGATTAAATTATAGTGTATATTATAGGGAATCGTTTGGTATTTGTTAGTAAAAAACTAAACAGAAAGATCTATTTGGTTATTTTTAACATTAAAACGATCCTAAACATTTTCAGTTTCCTTTCGAAATTGTATAGTTTTATTACCGAATCAGTGATGTGCAAATGGCGAATTGCAGTCATCTATTTTCTTTCTTTATTTTTTAATTTCAAATATAAAGTTTAAAAGTAAAGAATAATTAGAGTTTGGCATGGGTGGTCGGTCAAACAGGCTAAATTTCAAGTTTTGGTCCGTTTTGATCAAGTCTAATTTATAATCACATGGTTCCCTGATACCCGATAAAAATCTCAATCCAAACCAGTTTGACAGGTGAGTTTGTGTTTACCTCCATTTTCTAGGGATACAGGAATGGTGGTTCCTATCCCAAATCGTGTTGTTCATTCTTGATTTCTTTAGATTTTATCATGGTTTGGCAAAAAACCAGAAAGCAAAATGATGACAAGATGAAAGTTTTATAAAGCAAGTTAATTGGCCAACGGGCCGAGTAAAAGCTAGCAACGATTGTGAGATGCTCATTTCCCGAAAACCGACGGGATAGACAATTTTTTATTCGATTTTCTGGAATTCGGTTTCTATAAAACTTACTCCACCTCATCATATTACCAGAAACAATATTGTTTCACAAGGTAACAGGTACTTGATTTTGGTTCATAAGGCTGATTTTTGATTTGATGCATCATTCATGTCTCTTTCCTACTAAAATTCACTATTTTTATCACGTGTTTCCAAAAAGAAACTATACAACAATAAGCTATACACCCCATTACATTATCAAATTTCATACCTCACCTTCCTCCGGCCAATGGCCGGGGCCTAGGTTAGTTCGAAGATATGAGAAAGAGAGGGAAAGGTAGCTGGGCAGGAGGGATGGAGAAAAAGAGGGGAAGACATTTGGGAGAGGGAGGGAGCCAGAGTGGGGTCCGCATCACTAAATTGGGTGGGTGCTATTACACTTTTGTCCCTCTGTGTTTTTTCTTAAATAAAAAACAAGAGATGAAAAAGGAGCACTTTGGTTTTCGTTGGTGCTGGGTGGTGGGATTCATTTGGAGGGAGCGTTGTCTCCGAGTTTTTGGTGCTAGTGGGCGTAGTAGCAGTGAATTGCTTGCTGGTTTAAAGGAAGAGGTTAGGCTTTTTGGTATTGGTTGTCCTGATTTTACTTCAGTAGTACATGATAATGAAGTATTTTGAGTTTCTGAGCTTGGTAGTCTGGTAGGTTTGAATTCTGGGGAGTCCCCTTTGTGGGTTCTGTTTTGTATTGACATTGTATTGTTTTCGAGATTTGGCCATTTTGATCAAATAGAGCTATAAAAGATTGCCTAATCACCGGGGGAAAAACTCCGAAACCCCCCCCCCCCCCCCCAAACTTCCAATCCTGGCTCTGCCCCTGCCTGTTTCATACCCATCTTTGCAGCCAACTCCACTCTTTTTGCTTTCACAATATTAGGTGTAAAAGATAGTTCTGATTTAGTGAAGTTGACTTTTTGTGTGATCGATTTTGTCATAACTGGAGGACTCAGTTAGTACGATATTGTTTGATTTGGGCAAAGCCCGCACAGATTTAATTTTGATTGTCCTCTCCAAAAGGCCTCGTACTAATTGGGCTAGGTGGACACTAACATACAAGGGTCCCTTCCCTTGTATTACCGATGTAGTACTTGGATTGTCCCATAACAATCCTCCCCTCAAGACAAGGACCACAAACTTCATGTCCTCACCTCAGCGATTATCTTGATCCGCCAGGCACCTTGAATCGATGGGCTTCTCGATACAAGGATTTTTCCAGATGCAGAACTCTCTTTGATCTGCTCTTCCCAAATGCGAGTCTCCTTTGACGCGCCAGACAAACGCAAATCTCAACTCTCGAGGTCACCGAATGAGGGTCCACCGAACTGACGTCCACAGGCCCGATCCGAACCAGGCTCTGATACCACTTTTTATAACCGGGTTGCTCAATTAGTACGATATTGTCCTCTTCGGGCCAAGCCCGCACGGTTTTACCTTTGGGTATCCTCCCCAAAAGGCCTCGTACTAATTGAGCTAGGTGGACACTAATATACAAGGGTCCCTTCCCTTGTATTACCGTTGTGGTACTTGGATTGTCCCATAACAATCCAGGCTCTGATACCACTTGTCTATTAGTACGATATTGTCTGCTTTGGGCCATGCCTGCACGGTTTTACTCTTGGGTGTCCTCCCCAAAAGGCCTCATACTAATTGGGCTAGGTGGACACTTATATACAAGGGTCTCTTCCCTTGTATTACTGACGTTGTCCTTGTCTTGAGGGGAGGATTGTTGTGGGACAATCCAAGTACCACATCGGTAATACAAGGGAAGAAACCTAGCCCAATTAGTACGAGGACTTTTGGGGAGGACACCCTAGAGTAAAACCTTGCGGGCTTGGCCCAAAGCGGACAATATCGTACTAATTGACATATTTATTCAGTCCAATTTTTGGTTTGACCAAAAAAATCGTGCCTGAATCCCACCCCTAACTTGGATCCATCAATCTACGAATCCAATAAATGAATTCAATTCATTGGCCACCACTATGTATGGGTTATATTTGGGTCGGTTAGCGGTTAACCGATAATGCAGTTAGCAATTATCCGCCAACCAAAAACTCATCATCATTAGCCTACCCAGCTAAACTTAACAGCCAACCGGTAACCGTCGATGTGTTTAGCGCTTGTTTTAGCGGTTGACCTCCTACGCGCCTGAAAGAGAGGAAAGTGGTAGGTTTGTGGATTTGACAAAAGGCAATGAGCATGATTGTCTTTTTAGAGAATGTGGAAAAGGAAAGTGATGGGTAGAAGAAAGGCCTAGTCGCACACTCTCTTCTTCTCTTCACTCTCACCTATCCGCCTATCACTTTTTTCCTTTGCAAATAAGAAAACAAATCCACTCACTCGGTGAACCAACAAACATGAGAAAACAACCATTTTATTCTCTTTTACTCTAGAACCGTTAAATCCTACCTGCCACCATCTCTTTCTCTTCTCCCCTCCTAAGTCCAAGTAAAATAGAGATAGAGGAGGAGGGTTGACGGTGGCAGGAACATCGAGGTCGACCACTGTCGCTTCTCTCTCTCGATCATCCTCTCATCGATCTAATGAGAATCCACCAAAGAGGATTCAATGCTCGATGCCCAGTAATTCGTGGTTCGCGAAATAGACTCATCGATCGGCTTTCGTTTTTTCTTCGAGCTGGGTAGACGAGGAGATTGTAGTCAGTGAGAGCCGAGTGGTAAGGGGCAAATTGTCTCCATGGTTGACTGTTGCGTTTTACCTATTTTAGATGGTTAATTAACAATCCTTGGTTAACCGTTCAACTCTCCGTTATTAATCGTTTATCCCTTGGTTACCCAATAAAAAAAATCAATTTTCGTAAAACGATCCGCATATTTCGTAAAGGTTAACAATCGATTAACTGTGCGGTTAGCGGTTAAACCATTAACGGCAGATAACCGTTAGTCACCCCTACTTGTATGTGCAAGCAATAACATTTTGTTACGCTTGCTTAGGTCGAATATTATGAAGAAAGTGTAGTCGTTGGCAGAATGATTACCTGTGGGTGAGTAAGGTGAGTACGCCAATTTGATTCCCATCTGGCACCCAGACCCGTCACGACTCTGTCTCGGATAAGCTAAGCAAGTGCAGTTTCGGGAGCAATTCAGACGACATTGGCCCGCTCTCACATGGCTACCAGGCGGCAAGTCTTGGTAGCCTTGTGCTATCAGACTCCTGTCGTTCGGATATAAAGGAATACCGCAAGTGGGCATTTCAGCATCACCGGAACATTCAGCGCCTGGGGATTCCAAGTCGCAGCCCACTAATCTGGTTGCACCCTGACCAATAAGACTGCCATCGCTAGTCATGGTGATCCTTGGATAGGCAACATCATTGTCTTCTCCTTCTCCTCCTTGTACACTGTAAACCACCACATACCGCTCTTCTCCATCGTTGTTGTTATTCGACACATTCCTGAAACTGAAACCCGGAAAAATCTGATCCAACCACTTCCCACTTCTCCAATACACCCGCCCTTTGAATAATATCAACAATTGGTTCTTGGTCGTCCCGTTTTGGTCCAACCTGAAAGTGAAATCGGTCTGCCCGAGCCATGGTTTCAGAGACCAGACATGCCCAGTTTGGGAATTGGCTCCCAATTTCATCCCCGGGAGAAGGGTATCCGTTGGATAATCGAAGCTCTGCCACAGCTCCCGCTTCACCGACCCGTCTGGATTCAGCTCCCGGAGGATAAAATTGCCGGAATCTAGCAAAATGGCACTTGTTTTACCTGAAACTCCTTGGACAGGGGGGTTCACGGCAGCAATTTGGCCACTGCTGCCATTCACGATCTTCAAGTTCCCGTCGCTTGCTATGACGAGAGCCCCTGTTTTGCCCCGGATGCCGGAATTCGTGTTGCCGACCCAGACGGGAGAAGGCTCGGATTTGACGGAGCTGTAGTAGTAAGGCAGGTAACTTTGACGGCGGTATCGTTGGTCGTCGGGAATGTTGTACCAGATTCCGAGGTAACGATTGTCATCTTGAGCGGTGAAGAAGCCGAGCCTGAAAACTCCAAACCTTGAATCCAAGTGGTACCCGTCTTTCATCTCTTCGCCTGATGTAAGCGTGTCTGTTTCACCGTTTGAGAACAGAGCACATAAGTAGAGTGCGAGGAAGAAGCTGAGAAAGAAAGAGAAGAAGACGGGATCTCCGAATTTCACAAACGAGATCATCTTCTTCTTTTTTTTTTTTTTTATCTTTGTTTGGTGTTGATCGTGCTTGGCCAGATTCGTTATATGAATTTCTCGAGCATTAAAGCTGCGAAAACCGTAGATTTTGGTTCGGAAAGAAACAAAGGCGTAGACTTGAGGAGCTTGACTCATTTTTCCACATGGTTCGAGAGGTGGGGCCACCGCCATTACTGCCTCTGCTGGCCACAGAACTCCGAATTTGGATACTACTTTGGTTTGAGGTGCTACATAATATTCAAAGCAAGTAAACATTAAACCTACTTATCCAAAATAAGCGGTAAAACTAGGGATGGCTATACAGTCCCATCCCTAGTTTTTTCGAAAAATATAAGGACCAAAAATTGAATTGGATATAGTTCGATTTTGATCCGATCCGATACCAATTCTGTCTTGATTTTATATTGAGTTTGTGGGGATTTGAGTGACCTAAGGCCTAAAAGGATGAGGAGTTGGTTAAGTTTTGTCCTGTTATACAGCCTCAGAAGATGGAACTCAGTCTGCCTTATTAGGCACTTAGGGTCTATCCTCTCTAACTCTTCCTCTCTTTGGAATAACTGGTGAAAAGCTACCAGCTACAATACACTTCGATCTGGGATATATCTTCTGATATCAATTGTTCTTGGGCATGGCGAAAGGTTTTAAAAGCTAGAAGATTGGCTGAAGGCAAGATGCAGATCAGGGCTGATGGAGTTCGGTGGAATGGTAGTGCTATGGTAAAGTTCTCTGTAAAGAAGGTTTGGGAGGTTATACAAATCAAGAGAAGGAATGTTCCTTGGAGTAAGTTGCTTTGACAATCTGTCTGCACCCCAAAAGACAAGGTGGTTGTATGGTTGATTATTCAAAATATGATACATACTCCAAACAAAGTACAGAGGTGGAATCCTTCTATGATCAACATCTGCCCCCTATGCAAAGGCTCCCCTAAATGTAGAGATAACATTTTCTTTGATTTTCCTTATTCTTGCAAGGTTATGCAGGATGTATTTCGTTCCTCTGATTTGATAGGTGGTGATTGGAATGATTCACTTGATCTAGCAGTTCTGGTAGCATTACTGCAACGAGAGGAAGGCTGTTATGGACTATGATGGTTAGCGAGTTGTGGTGACAACCTTGTAGAAGACTATATGCTAATCAAGCTCTCTTAAAAAGTAAGCTCTTCAAGAAATTCTAGGAACCCCTGAGGCTTCTATATTGTGGGATCCCTTATGTTGCTTCTGCTATTTTTTGACGGGAGACATATATACTTTTGTAATTTGAGAACTTTGTATTTTGTTTAGTCGTGGAAACTGTAGTGTATGTAACTGGCAACTGTACTGCAGTATAGGTAATGACTTTAGTGGTAGAGCTGTCTTGTATAGGTGATGTACGTTCAGGTTTGGTTTTGACTTTTGAGGTTCCAGTTAGGATGATAATTTGTCATCCTTTCTTGATGAATACAATGCTTATTCATAAAAAAATTGGATTACATTCATGGATTTGTGGACTGAATTGGTGAAATAGTGGATTGATTCATGGATCCAAATAAGAACCGAGGTAGAGGTTACTAAAGGGGTTCCATGACACCCCCTTAGATTTGGAGAAAAGCACAAATAATCAATAACATTAGTATGTTAGCAATGATATTTAAATCCTAAATTTTAACGTCAATCGTGAAATCTTTTATTGTTAAACAACAATAAACTATATAAATTAATTTTATTTACAAATTTCTACATTTATACATTCTAGTTGATCAAGATAGATAAGAGTGCAAATTATTAGATGAAATCATTAAATTTTTATGATAACGGTAGTCGAAAGAGAAAATTAGTTTCCGTCAATGTATTTGATTGTGAAAATAGATTTGATTTGCTACTGTCATTTTCAATGCACAAGTTGATAACATTTTATGCATTCGATGTCTTGAGTTAGACTGGACCCTTGCTAGTCCGCACGATGCAGTTTGCCCCTTGTGCGGTCATCGTCTTTGCTTCTTTGTTTAGCATTCGATGTCTTGAGTTAGAGCTCTTAAGTCGTTTGAGATTTCCCCACTAGCCCATTGCCGAGCGTGCTAATATGTAGGCCGTAGCTATGAGTTGTATTCGTTAAGCTATTGAATCGCGAGATAGGGCCTGAGCTTGTGTGCATGTTAAGCGTGAGTTGTTGGCTGAATATTAAGAGTTAGCTATGTGCTAGGGAGGGCGGCCCCCACGAATTGAGAGTTTTAACTCAATGCGGCGTTTGTGTTTTGAAGATGCCACACCTGCTAGGAGGCGGGATCGTGTTTCTAGCTATACTGATGTCGCGCCTAATGGGAAGAGGAATCGGGCTTCTACGTAGAGGGGAAGCATTACTCAGGAAGCGGTTTTATATCTGCGAAAGATGTGAGTGACTAGTGCCCCATATTTTTAGAGCACAAACATAAGCATAGCATGCATGAAATATGTCATAGTATAGTGGAAATGATTATCTTCATGACATGACATGACATATGAGATATACTTTATCTAGCATGATTTGTAATAAGCATCTTCACGGCACATGATATAAGATATATCTTTAAAGGGAAAAATTAGCTCGGGAATAAGTTGTAGAATACAGCTAGGAAGAGGTCTAAGTAATAAAAGTCGCGTCTTGTAGTGTTGTGGTATGCGCCTCAGCTATGCAAAGGTTTTGACCTGGGTTCAAACCATGTCGGACGCGTTCCTTTATTATTTTTGAAATAAATCTTCACTCGTCATGGGATGGGCCGCTGTACTGGGCCTGGTTTAAAGTCTGATGCGGTCTTCGGGCGTAGAATGCACGGGTCGTCGCTGGGCTGGCAGATGGTTGGGCCCGCATTGCGGGCTACGCGAAAGAGATCGAGAGCTAGGCGGTTCTTGATGATGGTACGTGGGCCTCGAGGTTGAATCGGGTTTTGCTTGCGAAGCGGGTTGGGACTTTGATGGGTAGTTGGAAGCGATCATGGAGATTGCACTAGGGTTTGTGAAAGCAAACCGTGGTCTTTGAGATGCGTATGCGGGTCATGGCCCAAATGAGTATTTGGTGGTGATAGAGCAAGGCTGCTCTATTTTTCTTTTCCTTTTTGCTGAGCGAGGGTCGCTCTTCCTCTTGAGCGATCTGCCCCTTTGATTTACTTTTTTTTTATTATTTTTTTTTTTTGCGGTAAGCTTTCCTTTCTTGGCGTTGTTGTACGCCGCTGCTTGTTCCCAAAAAGAGTTCTTCGACCATTTGAGGCGTTCTTCAATGACTTTCCGCCGCTCGATTTTCAGGAGAATGATTCTCCTTCCTTGAATGGTTTCGCCTATTGCCTTGCTTCTCCGATTTTTGGGCGCTCTCTGGTTTATGCTCGGTGTTCCACCTAGGCGGGCTTATGAAAGCTAGATAATCTGGCGGCGAAAGAGAGGACAGAATGGTTGGGCTTCATCATTTTTGATTGGCGTCTTGCATCCTGAGGCGTTTGACGTCTACCTCGATAACCCCGTCCGCCTGCCACAACTGGAAGAGAGAGAAAGTGTGACAGGGACAACTGTCCTATCTTGATGGATTTTTCATATATGCTATAGTAGAGGAGTATGCTTTTTGAGAGTGACGTCGAAGGTATTGAGGAAGAGTGTGGCGGCAGGTGCGGTGGGTTTGTTCTTGCTATCGTCAGAACTGCGGCACAACTCCGGTGGCTGGAGTCGCCGGGATCTGATCGTGGTTTCCGATTTTCACTTTATTCAGCTGCTGTCGGTCTTCCTTGGTGAATCATTTCCCAAAGACTCTTGTCGTCGTTGCTCGTTGAGGTAGGACAGATTCATGGCGGTGGTCGTCGCCAGGGAAAGAGAAAAAATGAAAAAAGGAGGAACGGCGCTGCTTCCGACGGGTGAAGGGGGAGCAATAACCTTTTTCTTTTTGATCCAGCGACTTCCGTGGAATTTTGGAGGCGGTGTTGTCGGTGGTATGCTGGTAGCGGATGGGGGAAGAATCGATTTCCCCTCCTCCTTCAAAAACAAAACGAGAAGAATCCTAAATCATGCCCCACTGTGGGTGCCAAAATGTTTGACCCGGATTAGTGCCGGGTGATTAGTGTGGAACCTTGATCCGGACTCCATCGTCTGATCTCCTCGGGAGTGCAAGAATTCTGTGGAGAGTTGGGGGCGGCCCCCGAGATCTACACTCCGATGCCCAAGTTAGAATAGGATATAAGATAATGATAGAGGAATGTAGAGAGAGATAGGGTTTAGAGAGAGAACCATAAGTGGTAAAATGTGGGAAGGGAGAGAGGTCCCTTTGCTTGGAAGGTCTGTCCTCTTTATATCGGAGTCGGAGGCATCCAGTGGACGCCTCCCGTTGTAATGGACGCCCCCGGTAGACTGGACGCCTCTCGTCGATGGACACCTCATGGTGATGGACGCCTTCAGGTAAAGGACGCCCCCGGGTGGACTGGACGCGTCCCGGTGTACTGGACCCTAGAATGGGCTTGGGCCCAAGGTGAGACGCTTTGTGGTGGGCTTGGGATTGTATTATGCGGGGTAATACTAGACCCAACAGTTGTTTTGTTTGATACATTTAATGTGAAACCTTGATAGTTTGGCCGATTCTTATAGTTTTAGAATAATTTCATAATATGAAACATGAGAACGTGTATGTAATTTTTTTTATGGCACTCCCTTAAATAAATCCCTGGCTACTCCACTGGATCCAAATGACATCCAAGTCTTTGATCATTATTAAATTTAGAAACGTTTAGGTACTAAAATGTCATCATGAAAAATTTTAGGTTTACAATGATATATTTCCATCTAAAAAAATAAATTTTAAGTACTAAAATGAAATTTGTCATTTTAATCCATGAATCCACCAATTCAATTGGATTTGGATCAAATGGAATGAATTTAAATAAATTGAATTAATTTAATATTAGTGGATGGATTGGATTTGATTCATGCATTTGGATACTATTGGCATCTCTACTACTCGTGATTCAAGAAATAGTTCAAAATTACATCATAAAGAGTGATCACTTCTAGGAGCACAATCAAGGTGGACAATTGAAGTTTTTAGGTTGTGCAATGGATAGAATGAAATTTCCCACCAAATGACTTGTCTTAAGATAGCTAGCTTTAGCATTACAATTCAGGGGAGTTTATTTTGGATTCTTCTTGACT